AGTTTATCTTTTTGATTGCATTTTTTTTTTTCAGATTTGAATTTTCTTTGTTTTCAACAATAATGGAACAAATTTCATTCCATACAATACTTCTACCCTTTTTCTGAAACTCAGATGCTTCAGATTCAATTACAGTGCCTTGCAAAAGTTTTCATTTTTCTACAGCTTTTAATAACTCTTCAACCACGAGCTTCAAGGTATTGCATTAGAATTCATTGCAGTAAATCAGCACAATAACATAAAATGAAAGGAAACTGTTGCATTTTTATTTTGTCTCAATACAACATAACGGATGAGGGGTTTCTTTTCTTCAGCACAGACGGAGAAGCTGGTTGTAGTTTGAAGAAAATATAAATGGAGCTCAATACAGAGGTTTAAAAGCTGAAGTGATGCTGGTTAAAACCTTCTGTCTTTCTCTGCAAAGAACTACTGTATCGGTATCAGCGAGTACCAACCAATAGGGCACCGATAACATTTTGAGAGCCAAACGTTTATTCAACTATTATCACCAATTCCAGGTAGGCAATAAAAAGTTCTACTGGATTAATTTTGTTTTAGTCTTTTTCCTGCTTCACAAAGGTAGGCAAGCAGCTTGACAAAGCCATGATGGCAATTATTTCACATCCAAGTATATGCAGTTCTTCAAATATACACACACACATAAATTTAAAACAGATGGTATCGTATCGGCCGATACTGCACAGCCAGGTATCGGTATTAAGGCCAAAAAAATGCCTTTAGCTTAAGTAGTTTCCATCTCTCTGGAGACAAATCATCCCATCAGCATGGTGCTGCCACTACCGTGCTTTGGTGCAGATGGCTTAAATGGACTTTATCTACTGTTTAGAGGGCTTCTTATGAGCATCAGAGTAAAAGCGAATGCATATACACTAAATAAAAGGCATGAAATTTCTCATTTTTGTTAATAAAAAGAAAAAAGCGGTTGTCAAGTCAAACATGGAAAAATTCCAGATCTGTTCAAGGCTTCATATTTAAGGGGTTGAGGGTATCTTTGAAGTTTATTAACTTCTAATAGAGGTAAAGTTTACACTTTTTTTATTTCGTGACTTCACTCAGTCGAGTACAAAAACCATTAAATTCACATTTACTAAAAAGCGACGTAGTTCTCAAGAGTTCTCCAGTTATTTCCCAACGCCACAGTTCGCTGTCAATAACGACCATTTTTTCTATAAACCCAGATGTGAAATATTGAGTATTGGAGGCGTTTTAAAACAGCTCTCCATAATTTAAACAAATAGGCCGGATGATGTCATAATAATGCTGTCATCGTGTCAGCCCCAGCTTGACATTTAAAATTGTTAGCAGAGAGTTTGCATGACTTAATGCTAAACTGAAGAAGAAGGGTTGCTTTTTTTAAATTTTTTTCTGGAATGGATATTTGAGAAATAAATATTTGAATTAAAGTTAAAATCAGATAATTCCAGCCTTTAGAGAGTGGAAAAATAGATTTCTGTAAAAAAAAGGAATATTTATTCTGTAAAAGATCATTTTGTTCACGTCGTGCATCTTTATTTTCCCATCTCACTCCTTAAATTGTAGTGAGAAATGTCCAGAACAAAGTTCTTTAAACTCATTCTCAGCAATGCCACTAGGAAAGTTGTAATATGATTGTATATTGCAAGTCATTTTTCTTTCGCTTTTGTAGCTCTTAGTGATGAAATAACAAATCATAACATTTAAAAACCCCAGGAAAGGATCCTTTTAATAGTTACACAGTAAAAAAGAACAACTTGGACCCATTTAGGTGTTTTTTTGCCGTATTACATGAGTTTGCCTCTTTCCTTATTAGGGCTGTAATCCTGAGCAAGCTCAAACTCCCCAGATATCCATCATATCAAAGCGGTTATAGACATAAACCATCGCTCTCCTATTATTATTAATTTATTACAACCACAGCACAGACCAAATATGCGACTTTCTCTGCTTTTCTTTTGTAAACTCACCCAATGGAGGAGCTCATTGTGAATAATTACACATGTGCTTTAGTTCTGCAGCTAAGCTTCAAAGCATTTTTAAGTCATCGAGCAGATGTGAGGTTGACCGCTGTGTCATTATACCCTCCTCTGCGGTTGTTGACATACCCCGTGCCTCTTGAGATGGAAGCGCAGCAGATCTGATCCCCGCGCTCGCCTGTGCACCGCGCTCATTCACACCAGCGCACGGTGGTGTACACGCCGTCCCCGCGCTGTTGTGTTGTGATTTCTTTTCAACGTTGAGTTTGGTGCCTTGCTTGTGTAAAGCTGCCGGCCACATCATTAGCTCTGTTGGCACGTGGGTCAAACAAGGTTCACAGGATTTCAGCGGCACGAGAACGGGGATTGTGCAAAATGGTGCAGCAATGCACATGTTGTTGTGGTGATGCAACAAATGAATCATATGTGATTTAAAGCAGCATTTATTTACCTTTATAGAAGAGTTTTCCCCTTTTTTCAACACTTAATGATATTTAAACACACAACTGAATCCTCTTGCGCAGCATAAGCATAGCTGAGATGCTATATAAATAGCTTTAGTAGTGTATTAGCTCAATGAAACAATACAAAATGATGAATTTATCTGTTAAAATGAGGAAGTTATGTCCCCTAAAAAAAGGCCGCTGCACCTCGGGGGCTTCCTCACAGTTCTTTTCCTGGGAGCAAGTTATTTACTACTATTAACTCAAACTGGGTAGAAACATGTAAAAAGGACTATAAAACAGGAGTAAAATAGTTACAGAGTTTATTCCAGATCAGGTCGTTACAGGACAGAGAAAATTCTTGGAGTTTGCACAGCTGTGGGCTCAAAAATCACGTCCGCGAGCGTCCGGCAAAGATTGAGCCCCAAACAAGGTCATCTTCTCCTTCTTATAGCTCATGAGTCTATGTGTTGCACCAGGTGGATGCTTAGTTGTCCGTATCAGAAACTGACACGCCATCCATGCCCAAGGATTACAGATAGCTCTCCTCTATCAGACCGGCTCCAAGATGTGCCCATATCCTGTGTATTTTTAAAGACACGAAGGCTGCCCTGATTAGATGACCTCCGTACACATAGTGACATCCACCATGTGAAGGAAGGCCTTCTACTCTCTCTAATCTGGCTAATAAAGTAACAGTGCACATGATGTATAAAGAATAAACCTAACATATCTTATAAATATATTGTAATTACATGTCTTTGCTTAAACACATGCTAATTTTGGAGCTTACCATCCACTTCATTTTGGAAAATTCTCGCCTATTTCGCATACCCAAATGGAAAAGCAAATAACTTAGGAACTGTAAGATCAAATTACATGTGTGATACATTATTTCAAAGCTAACACCTTCTAGTTTTAAATATATACATGAAAATTGGGTGAGTAAAACACAGCCCAAGCTGCATCAGTTCAAACTTGACTCAAAGTTGTTTTTTTTATTCTTGAATATAATAGGTCTTTGTTGAACAGCAGTAATAAAGACATGGTTGCTTGTTGCGGCTGCTTTTTCATGTTTACATTTTGACATGCTGCTATATCTGTGTTAATTGTGCTTTGGTGCTCGCTATGTCCATAAAATAAACTTGGTGGTTGAATTGAATTGAATTCCAACAATGTCTAATATGTCTATATTGGTAAACATTTTACCAGTGTAATTTTCATGCATTCTGAGTTATTATTTGAAAATGCTTTAAAATAGGTTTTAAGGGGTTAAAGAAAATCACATTTGACATGATGTCATGCAAAATTGCAAGAGTTACCCAAACAGTTACTGTTACCTTTTAGAAAATGTGAAAGAAAAAAAAAAATCTTAATTTCAAGCTTATTATCCTTGTTTACACGTGTGCTATTAAAAATTCCTCCT